CCTTCTAGTGAGTCCAGGGTGTTTTCGTTTGGGTTAAAACTTGTAGTAAGTGAGTCTATAGTCTGTTTTCAGTCCTCAATTCCTATGCCGGCTTGGACGCGGTGATTTCGGCGTCTTTACTCTGCCGCCATCTTCCGGAAGTCCCGTCAAATGATTTTTAACAAAGATTTTAAGATCATTTAGTGGGGGGATGGATAGTCTTTCAGCACATGGAACTAGGCAGACTGTGTATCCACATGCAGAAGAATGAAGTTGCTCCTTTAGTGTATACAAAGGTCAAGTTCTAGGGGAATGGGTTACAATGAGTGGGACTTGCAGTAGGCTGCAATGACTGACGTTGTCGGCCCATCTGCGATCCAAGTAGAGTAGCAATCAGTTGGTGAGAGCCCAGGTCCCTGATCTTTGGAAGACGGGGTCCCTTTAATCCACTCTGGACTTTATAAACTAGGTGCAAAATGCAAACCAGACGCAAGCACAGTGCCTGCCATGAGACTGGGGCACCTGCTACTGTCCTGAGAGCTGTACTTGACCCAAATTAACACACTTTATCACCCAAACTTCCCCTGGCATAGAAAATCTACTATAGCATTCAGAGTTCTGAAATTGTTGCATTAGATAAACTCTGTGAGTACAATTAGCTTCTAACTGAGAAGATACCCTGGTGTTTCCTTTTGCCATCTTTCCAGAATCCTCCAGGTGAACGTATTTTAAAGATACTAATAACAACATAATAGCACTGGTCTCGTGAGAAAGTGAGGTGTTGCTCTAAGCAGGCGGGGATATAAGACATTTCAAGGTCAGGTCAGATGGAGAGAATCCCCTGTGTCCCTCAATGTCGGGTCACAGAGATGCTACTGGCCTGAGCATTATCCTGGTTCTATCTTCTTCCACAGAAAAGCGGGCAGTGACCACTCCCAAGGCGCACTTGGTGGCTTCAGTAGGAGGGCAAGCTGAGCGGAGCTGCCAGTTGTCCCCACCGCGAAGTGCAGAGCACATGTTGGCGCTCTGGTTCAGGAGCCCCCTCTCTGAGCTTGCTTACCTGTACAGAGGTGGCCGTGAAGTGAGTGGAGAAGCTGCAACGCAATATGTGGATCGCACATTTTGTCAAAGAGGCCATTGGGGAGGGCAGAGTGACCCTGAGACTTCATAACATCAGCACTGCTGCTGATGGGCTCTACCAGTGTTCATTTAAAGGTGGTGATGTCAGCCATGCGGCCAGCAGGAGCCTGACTGTGACAGGTAAGGCTGATGGTGGAAGACTGTCTCCCAGTGCCCCTGTGACTCCGCAGGCTGAAATATGTAGAAAATAAAGCAATGTTTCTTTATATCTCTCATTTTTTTCATATTTTGAAAAGTACTTCAAATATTGTGGTGAGAAATAAGTATCTAGCTACTGCAAAATATCTGATGCAATGATTAGAGCATGCTCTGTGATCAGAGATAATCTAATTTGTAATTTGCATGTCCCTTCACTTCTCTTTCATTGAGCGAACACTGGTTTACAACACTGTATATGGCAGAGAGGTGTAGGGTTACCTTTTTTTAGAGGTGGGTCTCCTCTTCTTCGATTGCAAAAGACAAATCAGTGAGACTCTTCCCTGTCAACTTCCTGACTCCACCGCAAGGCAATAACTCCCTTGGTCTTTCTGTCTCATTTACCTCAGTCCTCAGTGTGGAGACACAGGTCCAGGTTGACACTCCTGGCTCTGATGGAATCATGGTGGAGTGCAGCTCAGGTGGGTGGTTCCCACAGCCCGGGATGGAGTGGAGAGACAGCCAGGGTGCCGTGGCTCCCCATTCGGCACAATCTTATTCACAGGATAAAGCCAGACTCTTGCATGTGAAGATGACACTTCTCCTCAGAAACCACTCACAGAGCAACATGATTCGCTACATTTGTAACCCTGTAACAGGTGAAGGAAGAAAAGCACATATCATTCTAGCTGGTGTTTGTTAGGGGGGTTTTTTGTTCGTTTTTTGTTTTTTTTTTTTTTGTTTTTTTGTTTTTTTGGTTTTTTTTTGCCAACATGGCAACCTAAAGAGAAAATCATTGAGGAAATTAAGGTTAAAGAGCTTTGTCCAGGCCCTCCCTGGTGGCGCAGCGGGCTAAAGCACAGCACTGACAATCTAAAGCCACTTCCGCATGAGTTCGAATCCCGCCTGCCCCGGAGGTGACCACATGGCGTGGCAGACCTCTCCTGACCCACCCACTGCTCCCCTCGGCAGTGTACTTCGTCAATCTGCCCGTTCTACTCCCCACTCTGTCTCTGGTGAATCCTCTCACCTTCCGCATCTCTGGCCTGTACCCTAGTTCTGTACGAATAAGTAAATAAATCTTAAAAAAAAAAAGATTTATTTATTTAGGCATACAGAACTGGGGTGCAGGCCAGAGGTGCAGGGGTGGTGAGACGATTCACCAGAGACAGAGAGGGGAGCAGGACAGGCAGATCGATGAAGTACACTGCTGAGGGGAGCAGCAGCCGGCGAGACAGGAGAGGTCTGCCGCACCATGTGGGTCACCTCAGGGGTCAGGGATCAAACTCACACTGAAACGCTGCTGCTCGCTTGAAGTGTTGTATCCTAACCTGATATGCTACCAGGGAGGGCCTGAATATGACTTTTATAATTGTTATGGATGTCGTCAGGTGCTGAGAGTGGGGTTTAGGAGAAAAAAATTACTAAAAAATAATAACAACCTATAATTAAAATACACATTATGGCTTGAAAACTTTTTAAAGATCAATATCCTATTAGATCCACACTATAAATACATGTGTGATTCACATGTTTCTAGTTTAATGGCTGAAAGGCCATGACTCATATCCCTGGGCTACCGTTTTCTTGTCTTAGAAATTAATAAAATCATATTTTATAGATTTTTGTGAGTCTTAAGTGAGTTAATAGAGGGAAAGGATTTTGTAAGTCAGCTTTGTTTACACATGTATAATTACAAACTACTTAGTGCTAATAATTTATAACTTAAAACTTCCTGAAAATTACAAAATGAGAGCTTATCATAGCCATTTATAGGAAGACGGCATTGGAAAAACATACACACACACACACACACAATCAAACCAATAGCAACTAAAATGTGGATACAGCACAGGTTTCCTGGATATTTTCCAATATAAAACTCCTGGAGGCATGACAGATAGAGCTCAAGGGTGAAGCAGGATAAAGTTATGTCCTCAGTGTGACAAAGGTACCATTAGTTAGCACGTTTGATTGATTGAGGTTGATTACAGGAGCAGAGTGATAGGTGGGCAAATGTCTTCAGATATTACTTCAGGGGATCTATTTCTAGTGTAATTGAGGATATAAATGAAGTGATTATGAACAAGTGAAGATTTGAGTAATTTTGTGGTGATTCCTGAAATTTGTTTTTCAAGTAATTCCTGAAAAAAATGAGCCAAAGAGAAATATGAGACTATTATATACAGTTACAAGACTTGGCCATTCAATCATGGTAAATTTGGGCAGGGTAGAAAGAGATCCAAATCATAAGGCAACAGTGTATAACAAATTATAAAGTATGAATTTTAATGTATAACAAAAGATGAAAATGTTCATAGGTGATCTTGGAATAACTAATTTTATGTCTAAAAAGAGAAAATCCCATACATATAACTATATACAAAGTAAATATCAGATGGAATAGGAGTTCAATGCTAAAATTGAACCAATAAACACTTTTGAAGGAGTATAGTATATCGCCTTGGTATTAGAAAGATCTTATCAAGAAATGAAAATCATAAAAGAAAAAGAACCCTTATTTGACTCCACTATCTGCGTAAGTTAAAGCTCCACAGATGCAATTTTGAGGTTCTCTTACAGCCATGAAACTTCTCAACTACCCACGTGATTTATGGTGTTCACAGCTCTTCACTTTTCTCTCTATAATCGGGAAGCATTTGTGCTAGAATCTTCAGGGAGAAACAAAGGAGAAACTTCTTGCAATCCACTACAGTGTCACTTTCAATTCCACCCACAAGACAAGCTCAATCCCAGGCTCTTTGCTTACCCTAAAAGCACATCCACTTATCTCTAGTCCTGACCCAAATACTTATAACGTAAAGAAAATGCAGGACCTGAAAGAGAATATTGCTTTATTAGGAGCAGAATTTCTAACCCAATGCTGCTTCATGTGTGGGTTGATTGATCTTTCTCCATCCTTTCTTTCAAATGCGGACTTCATTAGGATGATAGTTTTCAATTTATGTCTGTTTCTGACTTTGATTGTAATTGCCATGCTGCTCTGCTGTCAGTGCAGCAGGAAATGCTGCAAGAAGGTGGAATCAATCGGCAAGTGCATCAGTCTTCATGCTAAGATAAGTCATATGGGCGACGTAGCAAAGCTATGTGACATTTCTCAGCCAATGCCAAAACTTACTTTGGTAGATTTAGGGCTTACTTTTTTTCATTTTAGAAACTTGACACCTCTTATTTATGGCCTTCTAGGAAAATGATGTTTTGATGAATGAGGTTAGTATAGATATCTTTTGAGTTGTTCAGGCCATAGTTACTTCTATGCCCCAAAGCAGTGCTTTCTCTCCTATGTCTATTCAAACAACATGACGTGCTTCACACTGTTTCAAATTGAAGTGTTTCCAACCCTGTTTCACTTAAAAATCTTTTAGTGCTAGATGAATCCTGTGAGTCTTACTCTAGGATGCACCTACTTTTTAGCACAATCTTTTTCCCTACATATAGATTGGCATCAATTTTCAAGATATGGCCTCCATTCAGGGACCTTTTACAACCAGACTTTCTTCTGGCTGTCAGCTGGGGTCAAGGGGCTGCCTGGACTTCTCCACAGGCATCTCAGGTGACTTTGTCAGCTATGATGGATCAAGAACCTTTTGTTGTGTGAATCTTTCTGATGCCACATTTCTCTGACTACATCGAGAAAAAGCCTCTGCTTTTAAGGATTGTTATGTCTAGATTGGGCCCACCCAAATAATTTGGAATAATCTTTCTACTTTAAGGACCATAACTTTAACTTCATCTGCAAAACCTCTTATTTGATGCAATGTTACATATCACAGGTTTCAGGGGTTAAGTCATGGATAATTTTGGTGGTCATTCTGTAAGACAGTCTTAAACATTCCTTCCAAATGCAAAATCTATTCTATTTAACCAAGGTCCAAATGTTTTTACCCCATTACAGTGTCAACTTAAAATGGGTTATGCAGAAGATAACGCCAAAGAGATATTAAATAATCTGTTTTATATAGTTGTGAAGTTTAATTGAATTAAACCATGCATTTTAATTAAATGCAGAACTATGCATTTTTGAAGAGTAAAATTGATGAGCAGAATTGAAGAGTGTGAAGAGTAAATTCTCCATACAAAAAAGTCATATTAAATGTTACTTCCTGAACAGCCCTTCCCCCAGTTCACAATCCCACTAATGTCTTAATTTTTGGACTTTATGAAGTTTCTATTTCAGATCCTTTATATCTCTTGTACAGCACATAGATGAAGCAATTGAAAATTGCCTGATAGCATATTTCATCATCCTTATGATGATGTTATACCTGTCACTAAAAGGTAAGCGGGTAGGGAGGGTCTTAACTCTGATGCTAATTACTAACCCAAGTATTTTTCACATAGAGGGATTTACATTGACCTTTTTGCTAAATTATACTAACATTTGGTCCTAATTGGACATAATTTAACTCTGTTCACCTCTTTCTCCTTGAACCAACTTTACTATTTTTTCTTATATATCAGATACGGACAACAGCACATAAAGTCACCCCTGGTTTGTAAGACACAGCAGGCTCTCCCATTAAGTACCAGTCTCCCATGCAGAACCACGCAATAAAAATAGTCTCCAAACATCAGAGATAACAGGGCTTGGATTTAATTTCCAACATCCCGGATAGAGAATAGCTCATTTCTCTACCTCCCTTGAATTTATAAGCCCCAAACTCTTTCTAGGGCAAGTCTAAAAGCTTCATCAGGTAGAGAGGCTTGATTTGCAGCCTGGATTGTACAATGCAGTTATCTAAGGGAACTAAAAAAAAAAAAAATACCTAGTCATCTAGAAATACAAATACAGTAATGTTGATGAGGAGCTGGGGAAATGAGGAAAGTGGGGAGATGTTTATAAGGTACAAACTTGCAGCCAGTAGATAAATAAATCTGGTGATAGCATAGTGATGATCAACAATGTTGAACCATAACCTTCAAAACTACCAAGAGGATACTTCAGTGATAATCATATTGCATATATAAATATATCAATGCAACATGCTCTACACCTTAGACTTACACAATACCACATGTCAATTATATTTGCACTTTTTAAGAGGAAAGTAATTATAATGAATGCTATAGAGTTAAGGAAGGTAAAAAAAGATTAAAACAGAATATAGTCTGTAATCAAAGTCAATAGTAAGGCAAAAGTTATATATTACTAATATGAAGACTATTCAGCCATACCAAGGAATGAAGTACAGATACCATTTATCAGTACATCAGTGGGTGAATCCTAAAAGCATTTTACTAAGATGCCAGATATTAATCCCTCATGTTGTATGTTTCTATTTACATGAAATATCCAGAATAGGAAATACCAAAGATGAAGAGTAGATCAGTGATTGCAAGAGATGGAGGGAGGGAGGGGGAAATTGGGAGTCAGAAGTTGTTTTTTTTGGATGATAAAAATATCTACAATTAGGTAGTGGTGATGGTGAATATGCTAAAAACACTGAACAGTGTCCATTAAAAGATTAATGTCTATATTATGTGGAGTTATTTTCAGTTAAAATTTTAAAATATAAATATGCCCTACTCCAAAGTCATTCTGAAACACTTGGTAGCAGAATGGACTATGTAGGTGGGCGAAGAGCCTGAAGGAACGGATACCACACGGGACGCTAGATGTGCTGTGAGGTGGGAAAGAAGGGGCCTGCGCACTTCAGATGACAAGCAATTCTACTATGTCTAAGAGCCTTTTATTTTTTTTAATCAGGATTAATTTCTCTCCAGGAACTACTCTGGGTTAACATCATTTTGAACATCAGAGAAATTTTCAAGCTCTCCTTCCAGATCACTGCACACATGCTTCTATCACAGAAAACTGGACATGGCTGGTGGTTCAGCTTCAGGATCTCCCTTTAGATTATCTGGACTGTCTAGGAAGCTGTTCTATTGATTCAAACATACCCTCAGGTCGTGAGTCAAGCCAGGGTTTCATCAAAAGAACCTCAAAAAGAAAACAGCAGCAGATTCAGGAATTCAGGTAACTGGTCAGATTTAGGGATTTGCCTTGACAGGAGCCCTTTGCTGGAATCACACTCACCAACAAAATAGAGCACAGGAAGTGAGCTTGAAGAACTCAGCTGTGGTGTTCCTTAGGACTTTCTTCAGGCTTCTCCCTTACAGTCAACAATGCAGTTCCTTCTACAAGGTTTCAAGCTGTCTTCTGAATCGTCTCAACTAGATTCTAATCATCTATGTAGACAGTCCCCAAATCATTTCTGCTTTGCATCTGAGGACAGAGGAAGAAATCCATAAAAGGAAATGTAGTGACCTCTTCCCATCCCACGAGCAACAGAAGAAATGGTAGAGTTCCACCATGGACCCCAGACTGTCTTCTTTTGGCAAACACTGGGCTATAAAGACCAGGTTCAGTTCTCTAAATATTTTTTTTATATTCTTAATTATTCACATACCTACTGAAGTTACTTCACCAACCTTGCATATTCCCCTGAAAGAAAAAGTCAGTAAGATGCTTAAGAGAAAGAGTTCAGTTGCTTTGTTTGGAAAGTATCGGGAAGAGGGGAACAGGTGTTGTGTTAAACACTCTGAGAGTAGAGTGCAGATGGGTGGGCAGGGGCCCAGCCTTAGCCGTAGGCCCTGCAGCATAGGCTGAAGGCACTAAGCAGGCCTCCTGGGGACTTAGTAGCAAGAGGCCTATAGCTCCTCTCTCTTACTCAGTCGCTTAAAGAGGGGATCAAAGATAACTCATGAGCTCTAGCACCTCAGAACCAAGTGCTTCTTGAGCAGAACATCCTTAGGACTCCAGTTACATCTATTCCAAACCAACCTTTCCCACTCCCAATCACCACTTTTGGCTGCCTTATGCCCTTAAGTCCATCTCCCACTCCAGTCAAAACAAACTACTTGAAGTTTTCTGAATTCACCCCCATCTCTCACACCTGTCAAACAGTTACACTCTTAGCCTGGAAAACCCACCCTACCCTTCTCAGATGCTCATTTTGGTTCAAGTCTCCTGGGGCATTATCCCCTCAGCAAGCTTCCCTTGCAGCCTACTCTGAAGTTAGTGCCGTTGTGTGTGCTTCTGCGCTTCCTTCCTTACCTAAGCACAGGTAGAGCTTTCAGATAATTTTCCTTATCAGATAGAGCCCTTCTAGTGGGCAAAAAGTACCAGGGCTGTATAAATCTTCTCAGGCTGAGGCCAGTCCGTACTTGCCCTCAGCACAGCATGCCAGGTGCGACTGGGGAGTGAAGTAAGAGCCAGCGCAAGGCTCCTCAGGAATTTCCCTTGGGAAGGAAGGTAAGGCTGAGACTGGGCTGACAGAATTGGAGGGCCTAAGTGGGAAAGAGCTTGTGCAAGTCCTGGCGTGGTCCCCATTCATCTGGCACTGTCAAGCTTCAGCTGAGACTCCTCTAGGGACAGCGGAGAGCTGACTTGATCACCAGCACAAGTAAGTGGAAGATCTGGATACACACTAGCTCCATATTCAGGCTCTCTTTCTTCACCTCTTCTTCCTTAGCCCTTCTGGAAAGCCACCTACATGTCTAAAGACTGGACTGACCTAGACCCTTTTGGAACTAGTGAGTTTCAGGGATTTCAAAGGATGGTATGAACTGGGAATCTCAGTGGCTTCCATGGAAAATCTTAATGTTTCTTTGTGGGTCATTTGAAATGCACTCTGCAGTATTGTATTACAGTGAACAAATGTTAGACTCAATTCTTGGGGTTTGGTTTGTTTAGGAATAAAGAAAATACTATTCTATGCTTATTATTTCCCCTCCCATAGTAATAATATAACAGTTCCCATGAAGTAGTGCTCTTTGCAAATATAACTCTTCTGCTTTAATGTAGCTAGCTGAGATGATCAGAAACAGAGAAAGAAAACTAGCCCATTGTGGGATATTTATGATAATTTTGAAATACTACATTTGCAAAATTATTGACTCTCAAAATGTGCCATGAATCATTTTTACAAAAATTATTTTTACTCAGTCATTCTCAACCAGTTGGGAGGGTATATCAGACACATTTTGATTTTGATTCAAATAAAAAACATAACTGATAGGGGTGTGCATTAGACATTATTATTTCTATAGTACAAGGGAAATTGCTGTGATTTTACTGGTTTAAAGACATGTATCTTGCCTCTTTGTAATCATAGTGCTTTCCTAGCAATCTGAATGTGATTTATATTAATTTTTAAAGTCCCTTGTTAATATATTTTCCTTTTGCTTAAACATGTAATTTTTTCTTAAGTTTTGCTACAAGATGCTTACGGTAAAATTTGGCATTTTAACTATGTCTCCGTGGGCATTAGTGCTGCTAGCTAGAAGACGCGTCTATACCACCAGCCTCTCCAAATCTCATTTTTCCAAATTAGAACTATGTATCCACTAAGCACTAACTGCATTGTTCAAACATGTCTTAAAGCTAACTTATACAGTGAAAACATCTATCTGATCAGGACCCGCCTTTGAATGAAATTAGAATCTGTGGAGTCCCCTGAAGCAATGTTTCAAAGGCATTTCCTTCAACAGTTCCATTCCTGTTATCCCTTATATCCAAGTGGGCTTTCACTCGAATCTCCTGACAAATTCCGTTTACAGAGATGTGGCGCATAGACATGGCCACAAAGGGAGACACTCAGCCCTGGTCACCACCTTTGACTCTTCAAAGAAGTCTCTGCAGAATCTAGTTCATCCTTCAGCTGTGTGGCATTGCTACTAACAGGCAGCCAAAATCCTGTGTGGTGCCATCTCCTAAAGCATAATACTGATTTGGCCAGATTTCCTGCCTGGGACCAATAGATACATACATACCTATGATCAAGTGAAATTTACAAATGATGCACAATAAACTGATGATAATAAATAAACTAATATAACAATATTCTGTAATAAAGTTATATGAAGGTGGCTTCACTTGTCTATGGAGTTATTTACATTTATGTTTAGATCAAGTTAAATTTAAAATTCAGGTCTTTAGTCCTACTGGTGCTTAATAGATATATGTAGCAAAAAGCTCACGTATTAGCACCAATACAGAATATTTTCATCGTTGTGAAAATTTTTGTTGGACAGACCAGCAAAGTAGAACTTTAAATTTTGACTTATTTTTTCCTTTGCCCACACATTAAGCACCAGGCAATATGCTTAACTGTAAAAAAAAGAAAAAAGAAAAAGCTCCAAAATGTTATGTCCTTCTTTATTTTGATCATACTACATTGGTTTATTATTATATCCATGGACTTGGTCCAGTCAGTCTTTTATGTTTAGTACATAACCAATAAATATTTTTGAATGAATGAAATATTAGGCATTTCCACCCCTGACATTTTAGGATGAAGTTATTAATTCGTACATAATGACCATTCAATCCAGCTGATCTTATTTCTACTTCGATTAGCTTGTAGAAGCAATCTTTGTAGTATAATGTTTGACTATAAATATAGCATAAAAGGCACAGAAATTAGAATGGGGAGGAGAACTTTGATTCTCTCTTTTGTTTCCTCTTCCCTTCACCTAACTTATTTTCCCTCTCTCTCTTTTCTTTTCAATCAGCTACAAGCTTAGAAATTCAGATTGTTGTACATCCTCCTAACATCAAAGGTGTTTTAGTGGAGTGCAATTCAGAAGGTTGGTTCCCACAGCCTCAAATGGATTAGAGAGACAGCAAAGGAGAGATTATTCCACCTACATCCAAATCCCACTCACAGGACACAGAAAAATTGTTCAACATGAAGATGAGCCTTCTTTGTCATAAGTCCCATAAAACTGTTACTGGCTATCGTCAGAACCCTGTAACTGGTGAAGAAGAAATGACAACTGTTATATCAGGTAAGATCTGGGTATTTGTTCTTCAAATGATGGTCATTGTCATAAAATTCATAAATGAAAGCCATTAATATACAGTCTTCATTTAGTCCAGAACATTACATTATCTTGGCTTCATTTATTTTTTAAAGATTTATTTATTTGTACATACAAAACTGGTACAGGCCAGCGAAGCAGGGGCGGTGAGAAGATTCACCAGAGACAGAGTGGGGAGCAGAACAGGCTGACTGACGAAGTACAATACTGAGGGGCACAGTGGGTGGGTCAGGAGAGGTCTGGTACTCTGTGTGGATCACCAGGGTGGGTGGGGATCGAACTCATGCTGAAGTGGCTTTTGCTTCTTTAGTGCTGTGCTTTAACATGCTGTACCACCAGGAAGGGCCCTGCTCTTGCTTCTTAATAAAGGAGTTTTCAAGGGCATAGCCTTGACATTTTTCTCCCTCATGACTTATGTCTGTCTCATGACTTTAAGTATCAGAAATCGGACAATGACCTTTCAAATGCTATCTCCTACCCAGATCTCTATCCCAGACACTTGTCTGATCTCTGAATTGAACACCTATAAATATCCCAACTGAACTCATTATTCCATTACTTGTGACCTGTAAGGTTTCTTAAGAAGTCTTATGGGGGCCCTCCCTGGTGGTGCAGCAGGTTGGAGAGCTGCCCTGTGAAGCTAAACCAAACTGTGGCTGCTTCAGTGCGAGTTTGATCCCTGCCCTGTAGGTGATCCACATGGCGTGGCAGACCTCTCCTGACTCACCCACTGCTCCCCTCGGCAATGTACCTTGTCGATCTGCCTGTTCTGTTCCCCACTATCTCTGGTGAATCCTCTCACTGCCTCTGCACCTCAGGCCTGTACCCCTTGTCTGTATGTATAAACAAAATCTTTAAAAAAAAAAAAAGTCTTATGGAAGCCTGATGGGGGTACCTTTATATGTTGTCTGCTTTTATATCACCTTCAATATTCTTTCTTTGTCTTGAACTCTTGATACAGTACTTTGTGTCTTGGTGTAGGTCTCATTGTATTTTGACACTTTAGCATCATGTACTAGAATACTCAGGTCCTTCTCCACATTTAAGAAATTTTATTTCTTTGAAGCTTTCTAGTCCCTTCTCTCCCTTTTCTGGGATAACCATTATCCTTATGTTGCCTTTTAGTGCAGTTAATCCTTGTTGTACCCTCAGTCCACCCCTCCCTTGTGCCTTCTTTTCCCCCTTTCTTTCTTCCTTGTTACATCTTGTTTCTCTTCTTCCACCTGAGTTATCTGTACATTACTGTCTTTGGGGTCAATAATTTGATCCTCCATTGGTTCATTCAGCTTTCATAGCCTTCTCTAGAGGTCTTGTTCTCATTTATTAAGTTCTTTACATCTTGGATTTGTTATCTTCTAAAGATTAAATTTCTACCTTCTGTTCATTAATTTTATCTCTGATAACATTAGCTTTTTCTGAGTTTTATTTTATCTCAGATTAGCTTTATGAGTTCTCTTGTATCGCTTTTATTTTACTTTCTGAAATGTCTATCTCTTTGAGTTTATTGTTGCAATTTCCCAGTTTTTTTCATTTTTTTTTTTTGTTGGGGGTTTTATTTTTCCTTGCTTTTTTTTTGTTGGATTCTGTAGAATTTTCTGTTCTTGTGATGTCATATTTCCTTTAGCTCACAAGCTGATGTGTATTTTTCTTTGTTTGTTTTTTTTCTTTCTGTTTCTTTCCTTACTTAAAATCTACTCTAGTCACTTAAGAGTTGAATGACAATTTTTGGTTTTATTGATGTGACATTTTTGGCTTCTGCTGGTGTCCTGGCTACTGAAGGTATTTGCATTTACTGGGGACGAGTATTGTAGGGCCCAGCTATTTTTATATGTTTGTGACACCTCTGATATCTTTCCCCTGTGGAATCCCAGATCTGAGACTTGAGAGTTGAATGTCACAAGGTCACTATCTAAAAGGGAGGCAGGCAGTATGGTCTAGAGTACCTTCTCTGTTGTCCTCCTATTAGGCTCCTGGCCTGTGACCTCCTCTGATTGGGCTTTACCAGAATCAAGGATAAAAGCCTTCACACTGTTTCCACTCACTCCTCCGCAAGATCCCTGACTGAACCAGCAGTTCTGTCACAGCCTCAAGGTACTCTTTCCCCCTCTAACCTGTGTTCAGTGAAGCATGGATCTCATCTGTGTTCCCTCTGGTTCAGCCTTTTGGTCTCTGAGGTGCAAGGGCTGCTTCAGTCTTACACCTTCAGTTGTGGAACTCTCTCAATACAATATTCCTCTTGTTAACTATTATGTGTTCCTCTTGTTAGAAATGAAAGGAACCTGTTCTCTCGCCATTTGGATTATGAACTTAAAACATGTCTTAGAAGAAGTACAGACTGTGAAGATTGAGGTATACATGTCTAGAAAGTAGAGACATCACAGGGCTATCTTATCTTCCAATGTCAGAACATTGGAACATGGATCAAAATTAAAACTTATGATAAAAAAAAGATAATCTTATTGGAATTCTGTTCCTCTCTGATTTGTGAGATGACATTGCTCTTTTTCCAGTTCTGGGTTGAAGTGTGAGAGAGCTTATCTGGATATGAGATTGGCTCCATAGTCAGGGATTCTCAGTCCCATGAATAACATTTATGAAGAAACACCAGCTCAATCCAAGTTTTGACAGTACCATACACACAAAGTTGTGGTTACTGAAACTCTCAAATGGCTCTCCAGCAACCTCTTGGGGGTAATTTACTTGACTATAATATCATATTCTAGATGGCATAGTTTATTTCTCTGGGAATAAAGACATCTATTTTCCAAACAGAATGACAAACATCTCCACCTGGTGTGCAAACCAGCAGGTTGAAGCAGATACTTGTTCACATGAAAGGGAAAAGAAGAAAGGTTCACATGAGTCTCTAAAAGTATTTAAGAAGAATAATGCCAGACCCTGAATACATTAGAGAAGCCAGGACTACACACTAACTGGATGCTTAGATAAAAAGGACTGATAGACTGAATAGAAAATGACATTATTATAGCCCCAAGGGCTCTATGCTGAGGCTTGATGATAACTTAGCTCTGCTTCTTCCTCTATAGTTGGGGAGAATCTGAAAGCGAATGGATAGGAGGAGATGGGGAGAGTGGCTTTCTCTTACATTTGTTCCATTCTCAAGCTAAATGACAAAGCTTTCTCTCATTTTTCACCCACATAATTGTAACTACCTCCCCAAAAAGGTTTATGACCAGCACCATAAGGCTATACAGCGTTGAATGGAAGGAAACATGTTTTGGAGAAATGATTTGTGTTTTGGATGGTCCAAACACTTTAAATTTCCTGCGTGATAAGCTCTGTGAGTCTATTTCAGATAAGCTGTTTCTATGGAATATTATTTGGATATTAATTCTGACTGCAACTCTGGCGTTGCCAGTGTGGATCTACAACTAAAACTGTATGGTAAGTAGGTTTAGTGGGGTAGGACATGAACAGCAAGGATAAGGGAGCTAAAATTGCATGACCCTTACTTGCTAAGCCTATCTGCTTCAGGGAGCTGTAAACCCTTGGTTTATACATTAAACATATGCCTTCTAAGCCACTCTTTGGTCCTAGATATTCTTCTCTCCCTGCTACAGCTGCTGACAATGCTGGTTATCAGAAAAGTTGGAGACTTCTTATACCTTAATCGCAATGAAACCCCTTTTCCCTCGTGGTAGTTTTCCCAACAAAGTGGAAGAGTTTCTTGACACTGAACACCTAACATCATTTACACATTTCCTAAAGGATTCCATGAACATGTCAGGTGCAGGAACTAAATTTCTAACTGCACAGGGTTAAGCTAAGAAAAGGTCATTGAACATATGCTGAACCGCACTTGCATCCCAGTGATAAATCCAACTTGGACTTCATTTATGATGTCCTTTGTGATGTGTTGTTGAATTCAGTTTCTAATACGTTGTGAGAAAATTTGGCATCTATATTCATTCATTATAAATACTGGTCTGCAGATTTCTCTGTCTGATGAAAGTATAGGGATCTCTAGTCTCTTTTGGTTTCCAATTACATGGGATAAATGTTTCCATTCCTTCATTTTCAGTCTTACGTGTATCCTTAAAACTAAAGTGTATCTCCTCTAGGTGACATACAATTTTTTAAAATTTATTTTGAGTACTCTATGACTTTTGAGTAATGACTTTAATCCATTTAAATTTGAATAATTATTGTTATGTAAGAACTTAAAATCGTTATCTTACTGTTTTCAGGAAGTTTGGTAGCTCACATATTCCTTTTTGGCTCTTGCTGCATTTCTTTGTGAACAGGTGATTTTTAAGGAGGGGTGGTGAGGGTGTCCACAGGCCAGTAGGAGGGATCATTGAGCATTTCCCCATACTTATGAACAAGGTCCCTGACGGAGTCCAGAATGCAGTCAGCACAAACCTTGTCCCGTTAATGTTGCCTTTGAACCTCAAATAATTCTCCCACTGTGCCACCTCCCCCTGCTATACAACTCCCACTTTAATACTCTGAATGCTGTGAGGTATAAATGAGGTTCTTTGGGACACACCCCTGGAGTATTCAGTCAGCACTTTTTCATTCCTCCACTGGAGAAATCACTGGTGGTCGCATTTAATCCTATATTGTACCATCTTGAGGGTAGAATGAGGCTGGTGATGTCAAGAAGCTCCTCTTACTCCAGTTCCAATGCCTCCACATTCATATATATGTGTGTGTGTATACACACACACATGCATATGCATATACACATATGTATGTATATATACACATATGTGTATATATATGAGTGTGAGTGTGTGTGTGTATGGCATATAGTACATCTGCTGGAGTTCTTCTTTGGAAACCTGGACTTCCACAAAGACTCCCTTTGGTAGGTTCATGTTGTGTTGAACGTCGTGTTCCAGGATTGCCACAAAGCACTTCTCTGCAGTCTTCTGCGAGTTCCAGAATCTCTAGAACCAACTCTGTTCACTTATCCCAGGAAAAAGTAAGATTCCTCTGAGGGTCCTTGGTATATGATGGCATGCCCCACAGCTCCCACAGAGGCTCTTCTGTGTGGGGATGAATGCCCACCAAATCTTTTGGTTGTTGGGGGTGGGGGTGAGAGAGCAAATGAAGGACATCTTAATGTGCCATGATGCTCATATATCTTTGTATCTCATATTTTAAACACTAAGTTAGCCTGCGCCTGTAACTGCTCACCACACCAATGGGCACCACCCATGGTAGAAAGCACCATGTCTGCGAATATTTCCACGGGAAGACTAAGTAGACATACAATCTACAGTGATGTGTGCTAATAAGATTTTTAACAATATGACAACCCTTTTGTTTATGAGATTTCTTGTTTCCAAAGTTTTTATGAACTTTTGAACCTTTTTTTGAACCTAGGTACATGGTTAAAACCCAGTGTATACTCTGTTCTGAAATGAGGTACATTGATTGTCTAGATAGAGAAAAAAAAAAGGTTGGGTTTTTTCCTCCAGATATATTCAGTCTCTGCCCCACACCTGTCCCATATTAAAATTGCTCTGCTTGATTTCCCAATCATTAACATCTTTACACCTCAGCCTTCAGAGAGTTAGTTCCTTTAGATCCAAGCCTTAGCCCTATACTTGATTCTACTAATTTATAGAATTAATTCTATTCTAAATAAGTATAGACAAATGGCATTAAAGTATATCTGTGGCTTTCTTGGTGTATTTTTCCTCAGTTCAAAACACCTCCACCCAAATAACTAATAACCATGATCTCTCTTTTCTTCAGGTGACTTTTTCCAGAAGCTACTTCCTTGGGTAGTGGGTGTCATTATATGGCTGCTTACACTAGCTGTAATCATCCCAACCATTTTAAGTTTGCATGCCAAAGAAAGAGGTATGTGGGATCCAAATAGTGGAGATATCCTGAAAATATCATCTTTGTCAAGGAGATATCTAATCTCTGATAAAATAGTTAGCTAAAAATGTGTGATATTTGTTTGCTATCAGCAGTTTTTATGCTCTCATGGAGCATCTCGAGTCTTCTCTCATTAGGATATTATTCATGGCATGGGTTTAGCACTCTTCATCCTGGCTTCCTCATCCTCATCATCTTGGTTCTCTTTCTCTCCAAAATAGCATGAATCAATGCCAGCCATGTCAGTAGGGCAGCAGTAGTTAATATAGAGAAGTAATTTCTAGAAGGCATAGTTTTCCAGTAATGAAACAGATACTCTAAGTGTTGCCTATGTTGCCCCCATATCAAGGCATATTAACCAATATTATGTGATAAAGTACCCTAGAAAGGGTACTTTAAAGGTGTTATCTTCTCCAGATAGCTCTTTAGAATCTCTTTAGAGATGACTCTTTAGAATTGTGAGAGCTCTTTCATCTCAAAGGTCCTGCTTATCCTAGACTGCCCTGCTTTACCATTCTCCAGAAGAGGTCCACAGCACCAGGTAAAGAGGATAAAACTGCAAAGGGTCTATCTTTCAAACTCCAGCCCACCGGAACAAGTGTGATGTTGGTATAGAGATGTGTGTGGGATGAGTATCTGCTTCTTTGTAGCAGTCTTCCAGTTTTAGCCCAAACACACTCTATTTAATTCAAGTAACCCAGCTTGCCTCACCCTACCTTTCTATAAGCCCAATAATTGAAGCACTAGGACCTTAAACAAGAAAATCTTTTCTAATCTGTAATCTTTCCCTGCTGCAATCTTCCCAATTCTTGCTCTTCTCTCCAGTGTCCATTTCAGATGCGCTTTTCCAAGTGGATACTATGTCCAAGTGGAGACTTTGTGGTTGGAAGATATTACTGTGATCCTGTGCATTCTGATTGTCTTCATTACCATGATTATTTCTTTCATTTACTTTAAAATCAGAGGTAAGTTGAATGGGAAGGGTGGTGACTCCTCTGACTGATCTTCTGATGTCCAAAGGAAGGGAACTTTACAGACCCTAGGTCTTAGTAGTGTAAGAAAAGAAGACACTTACATGTGTCTGATGTAAGGGACCCTGATTGTAGCTTTCTCAGGGCTCCCAGGGCTTCTCCCAGTGCAGTGTTCCTGCCTCAGAATCCAGTGACAGTCTCAGTTCCGACTTCATAGCTGTGATAGCTCCCTCAACTAAACTGGGAAGGCCCAGATTACTTACTCAGCAGCAGATAAAATGGCTTACTGAGGGTAGAGGGTGAGTCCTTGACCACTATTACTAGAGAAACTGGAAGGCACTGGCCATGCACCAAGTCTGGTGTGAGAAGAACAGCGTTCTCCCAGGCTTCTGCAAGCCAAAGCCTTTGTCCTTTCCATGGCTGGACATCAAGCTGGACATCAGTATTGAGAAATACCTCACCCCTTAAGATCAAATAACAGTGCCTTCTTACAGTACAGACTATGTTCCTCATGCCTACCTCTACTACCAAGAGAAGCAACACTATCATTTTGTTACACCCATAGACATGAACCCTTATGGGAAGTAGACAAATTCTTCCAATCAAGTCATTTATAAAGTAAGATTAAGGTCAAGGAGATGGTTAATTGTCACTCATATAGACCAAGGTTGCTAAAAAACAAGTCCTGTTTTTAGATATGTGGGGTTACAAGGCTATTTCTTGATATTGTTCCTCTGTACTTTATGAAAACGAATGAAAAGGTTGCTTGAGCCACTCAAAGATTTTATCAATTTTCTATTTCTTTTCTTATAAGAAAAAAAAGAGATAATACTTTATCTGAACTAGAAATTATAATAGAGTGAATTGAATAGACCAGATTCATTCTATGAATCACTTATACTCTAAGAACGTCTCAGATTTTTATACATCTCAGATTTTTATAGCAACAACTTCATGACTATATAGGTAAACTTTAAAATTTGAACACAAATTCAAATACTCAAAATTAGCTGAGATAGTTTTAAATAAAAAAAATCTGCTTTCATAATAAATTCGATTTCATTTAACAAGGACAAAATAATTTCCCTCCAATGTTTTCTTCAGTTCTACCAAGTTTGTATTGGGGCTTAGGTGAATCTCATACCTTTATAATAAGTGCTTGCTTTCTCTGCACCCTTTCACTGAGTGAATTTAGCTCTTTTTCATATATTAAAAAGTTGATTCTCATTCTGTGTCTCTTATATTTCATATTTGCCAGATTCCAGAAGGTTAAGAGGATGCAGAATAATGTTTAGGAAAAACTTTTAAGATAAATCCACAGAGCCCCTTCATTGCAATTTCTGCTATGTCTATGACAAAATCTTAATTGTATGTGTAATAGATTTTTCCAAGCCATCAGGCACAACACATAATGATTTACTGTTGATTGAGTTTTGAAGGTGTACAGGTTGGCGGAGAAGGAGGAAGGGAGAGACAGAGGGAGGGAGGATAGATTCTTATTACAATTTCATCAGGACATTCATTTACTTCAGTTGCAAAGAGAGAATGCACAATTATTTTCATAGTAATCTTAATTAAAATAGTATTAGATTCTCCCCGTCAGGTATCACCACTGAAAATTAAATTCAGCTCCTTTCTAAAATGCCTCTGTGGATTTCCCTCTCACTTATTCAAGTTAATGATTTCTAAATAAAAGTCCCTTTGGTGGCTTTTCTAAAGACATCTTTGGCTTCTCAGATGTTCTCAGTATTTTCTCTTTTCAGCAAGTTGCTTTTAGTAAGATAAATTTACAGTGCCTTAAGTAATTTCTATTTCCTCAACAGGTTTCTTAGAAAGTTAAGGAGTTGAATAAGCATCAAAACCTCATCTGGTACTAGTGATACAACAGTGGAATGATAGATGGGGACCTCAGGAAATAAATGTGATCCCACAATTTTATATAGCCAAATAATTGTCAGATAGAGAACAATTAAAATCTACTTGTATATTCAGATTTGTAGCATTTTCACAAACTATGTTAACTAAAAAAATGATGGAAATGTAATCAGAAGATAAATAATAAATTAAAGGAATATCTAAAGATAAAATTGATGTAACTCTCTGAAAGTAGAAATAACTGTATTGCAATTATTAAATGCCATAGCTGTTAGTAATTAAAAATGTCTATTAAAATAAAACTATGATGTTTGTCAGAGACTTACCTAAAACATAGTAACAGAGAAAAGTTGAAAATACAGGGCCATGAAGAACAAACCTATGCAATTTCCATCAAAAAATATGTGGAGAAACACATTAATAAGATTTTTAAAAAGATAACTAAAAATAAACTAGTAGGAATAAAAAAGTGACTTACAAAATAAATACAAGAACCATACACCAAAACTTTCCAAAAACTGGTGTGTAAGTTATATGTGTTTGTACACTACTAATATGACACCTTTAAGTCTAGAAACAATTAATGAAGTTCACATAAAAATATAATTCTACCAATCTTGAGCAATATTTTAATATGCTTCTTTGAAGAATTGGCAGATCAACTCATAGTACTTCCCTCAAAGGCCCCTACTGATGAAGACCAGGTTTAGTATTTGTCTAGTACTCTTTAGAGGGCCTGGAACCAAAAAATTTACTTATAAAATGAAAGCTATATGAAAAGATTCTTAAACTCACTATTCAGATTAAATTAAATCCAAATCAGTGAGACTTCATATTACCATTCCTAGACATTTAAAAACATTAAATTTTGATGATTATTTAAGGGAGTTTGGGAACTCACACATTCCTAATTTTAACATAAATTGGTTAAAACGAAGTCATTCATTAATATAAAACTCTCATGCTATACAGTAAAAACTTAAATATTTAGATTTTCACTTACACTGGGTGTCTGTTGTTGCCGAATGAAATTATAGAGAGAGAACAATTATTTTTCACAAAGGAATTAAAACAATAATAAATAAAGGATATGTGTTTATATTAGCATGACTATATCTTAAAGTAGGTGTCTTACCTCTTTATTTAGCTTTTGCTCTAGTATGTTCGTGGTCAAATATTCCTACCTTAGCCTTGACTTCAAACCACTTCTTAGTATACGTATTTGACAAAAACTATTATTAGAATTTAAAATCTCTAAAAGGAAAATAATCTAATTGACTACACAAAATAGGTAAGAACCCTTGGTACAATCAACAAGGATCAGAAATTGAAACAGCAGGGTCATTCTCAAAATCAGAGACACTGATTTCAGAGGGGAGAAGTAGACATTGTTTAGGAAAAATGTTGACTTACATCATGTGTGTAGATCACATGGGGCCATTTGATGCTTCAGCAATGAGGCTTGAATGTGGGATATCCCAGCATATGGCATCTAAACAGTTGTTTCAAGAAAGAAAACATAGATGCCTTAGTCCAAATAATCTCATTTGATGGTTTATAATCTTCAGAGGTTTATTTTTGGAGACTGGGGTTTCTAGATCAAAGGGTCGTCACATTTGGTGTCTGCAAAGAGCCTACTTCCTTCCTGCTTCACTGACAACTGTCCCTTCCCTGGGTCCTCATACAGCAGAAGAGACCAGGGGGCTCTGAATCATTGACCTAATCTGTTCCCGAAGGACTCACTCAAGTATTATTAAGCTGGGGTTTAGTTTTTAACAAATGAATTTTGGGGGAACATAAACATTCTGTCTATAGGAGTAGAAAATGCTGAACAACACAAGTACATTTTACAAAGAATAACTAAGTTTTAATAATAATGATATAAATATAAAATAGAAAACAATAAGATATGACATACTTACAAATGTGCGTGTGTGCATACACACACACAGTAACTACAATATGCCATAAGCCAAATTCCCAATTGTTTGGGGTGGAGTTAGTAAAAAAGAAAAAATTGTTGTTGACTATTATGAGTTGGCAAATAATGAAATACTTTAAACAGATATAAAGCAAATTGTAGCATCTACTTAATTTTGTTGATTGTTAGCTTTACATTACCAATTAAAATTACCCAAGAAAATTTGCTGAACCTTGATAAATGCAGTGGAAGACAGGGCACAGCTTCCATCCTACCCCGCCCAGCCACCCTTTGGGCTCCAAGCTTTACTCTGGGGGCTGGTGGAGATTATAGGCCAGGAGCGTTGGTAACTGCATTGCTTTGCCAGCGGAGGTTAATTATGTGAGCAGAGCATGAATAAAATCTAAGTGTTATAGAAAACAATGAAAATCTTTGGAGAAACAATTAGGAAGAGTGAACACCCTGTTATATGAGTCCTAACAAGCAACAAAACTGAAGACCACCCAGAAACAAAACAAACAGGAAAGTGACACCCCAAAATGATCGTACTGCAGTGTCAGTTAGACCTAGTAATTAAGAAGGCAGTGTGTGTGTGTGAGTGTGTAGGTAAGGATTAGGATTTGGATTGATGCAATCTATTATTATAATTGTCCCATTTTGATAATTACGAGGCATGAAAACCTCATAGAATATTATGACTCATACACAGGGAAAAAATGCAGAAGGTAGAAAAGGCCTGGGGTGGCATCTTAGGGGTGATGTCAGAGTAAAGGCACTGTAACTGCTTCCTCCTTGTTCCTGTAAACCAACAACAAATCAATCAACCAAGATAAAGTAAGATTACATTTCTCTGCTCATCACCTCACGGTGCTAGAGAGATCAGCAAGTCTGTGTGGGGGAAGATGGGTGGATTGGGGCTCATGGAAGATGAAGATTGCAGTTATTGGGAACAGTTAGGGGGGCTGCCAGCCTTGTCAAATGCCTTAGGAGGGGAGAACAGAGACAGCCTAGAGATGCCCACCCTTAGACCCAAAACAACAAGATGAGGTTCACCATTGGGTCAAGATCTTAGCCAGGACAGCCATGGAGAAAATGCTTCAATTAGACCACCTCTCCCAACACTCGCTCTCTCTCTCTCTCTCACCCACACATACACTAGATGTGTACTGATCCTTCAAAGTAGGTAGTTCAGATCCAG